TGTGTGTGTGTGTGTGTGTGTGTGTGTGTGTGTGTGTGTGTGTGTGTCTTTCCTACTTTTTCTTTTTCACTTATAGATGTTCATTCCCCCTGGCTGTATTGTTATATTTTGTATCATGTTAAAAGTTTCAACAAAGGTTTAAAAAAGATGTTTTCATGAATGTATGTATCAGACAGTTTTTAAATAAATCATTTTGTTATTAGTTTCAGTCTTTATTAGGAGCAGAAATAAATGCACTTTTGATTTGACACAATATGTTGTTTTGTCTTGAATAGGGTTGGATGTTATGTTTTTATATTTAGGTCACAATTCATTGTTTTACTTTTTTACACATTATTCATCAACTATATAGACATAATATTATTTGCTATATATCAAATGACTATTTACTTTTGATTGTAATTGTATTTGAATTTATTAAAGTTTGGCCAAAATGTTAGGTTTTTGACTGTCTTCATGAAGAGGAGTTAAATCCCTTCATTATGTCCTCAAACTCATAAACTCATCTTTTAATATTCTTATTCTGTCGAACCAGAAAACCTTCCCAGCTGTCAGAAACTTATTGAACTGTTTTTATTTTTGTTTTTCTCCATCGTTGTACCTCGCTTCTTATCACTGTGTCTATAATCTCACTTAATTTGTGGACCACAATGTGAATAAGTGTTTCTCACTTACTTGTGTTATCCAAGTACTAATAAAAACTGTTCTAGATGTGTATGTACATGCAAAATTACTGCTAAAATCAAACAACCAATCAATTAACTGCTTGCTTTAGTTTTCAAATGATCATATGTTGATACTAATTATTGGAAACTGTTTTATCTAATATTTTATACATAAACATGAACAGCGATAAACAAATACAAACACCTGGGAACATTTTATCTCATTAGTCTGAGATTTTACTAAAACAAATCTCACAAATGTTTAAACACTTGTTGCTTGTTATTTGACACTGAAGAAATAAAAAGCAGTTTGACAGTAAATAAAGTATTCTGCAAATAGAAACAAATTAAGCAAATGTCATAAATTACATAATCATCTTGATTTTAGTAGGAACAGGTCTTAATGGTAATAAAATGGAAATAATGTTTTGATTTTTTTCAGAGTTGTAAAGTAACTCTGTACAAATACTTTGTTACTGTACTTAAGTAGGATTTTTGGGTATTTGTACTTTACTTGAGTAATTATTTTTCAGCGTACTTTTTACTTTTACTCATTACATTTTACAGTTATCTGTACTTTCTACTCAGTACATTTTTAAAAAAGGTAAGAAGTAGAAAGTCGTTACTCCTGTTTTATTTCAAGTTATTATTTAATAAAATCCTCTCCTGATAAACTGTGTCTCCTATAGAGTGAATTTAATTGTGTTTGGATGAGAAGTATAAATATAT